GGTTGACCCTCCACTGTAGTTTAGTTGATACTAATCGATCGATTCGATTTCAGTTATTTTTCAACTGCAACTGCTCAGCTCGTGGGGAGATGAGTTCTACATCGGTTTGAACGGCATCGAACTCTATGACCGACGACATGAGCGGATTAAAGTCAGAGCACACAGTGAGTGAAAACATGAGATTCATTTTCAGACCCCCCTTTTTGTGATAGAATAATCGCTTGTGAAATGCTTGGCTCCAATCAGTTCAGCTAAGGTGCGCCACGCATTCCACTTCTTCTCATCCATTTGTAGACAGGTTGGGATGCTTGCGTCACTTGACAGCTGCTAGCTAAACAAGCCTCGTAGATGTTCCTCTGCCCTTCTGACCAACCTGATATTCAGCTTACCCGGAAGATTGGATTATACTATTTTACTTTGAACTCACCCAGATCTGGCTGCTTTTCCTGAAAGCGTCAATATTCTGCCGGCTGTAGACGGTGATCCTCGAACGAGTCTAAACCTTATCAACGGCTGCAATGATACTGATAGGTAGATACGAACAAGTATTCTTAAGTATTCTTCCACGGTCCCCTAAATATGGTTAGAATTTCAGGGCCGAGCAAATGTGGTTGACACCAATGTTACCGAACCGATGCGCTAGGGTATTTTTCGTGTTTGATGTGCCAGTCGCAGTTTCCACGTTCGTCATTTATAACTACCGTAAGACACCTGCTCGAGGAGTTCGGCATATTTCGGTAAGTCGTGGTGAATGACTTGACACAAAGTTCTCGTTAAATTATCTACGATGAGTCAAAGATGATTAGCAGTGATAAATAGTGATAAGCTGTGATAAGAAGTGATAAGTTCATTTTTCAAGACAGTCATTGCTCAACAGTGTTCATTTGCAAAAAAGGGGAAATATTTTCTCCTAATCTATTGTATTTGTCTAGGATTTGCTGAATCCTAGCTTGAAAATATGCGCTAGTGTGTGGTGTGGCGTCTAACGGGTACCCGACAGGAGGCCCGTCGCGTGGCGAGAAGGCAAGGACGCAGACGGGTCAGCGGACGAGTCGCAGCGCATACTGTAGCGATTCAGCGTCAAGTTAAATAGAATGTAGCACAGTACCCCCCATGTCGCTGCGACTCCTCCATTGGCCCTTCTGCGTCTCTGCTTTCACGCCGCGCGACGGGCCTCCTGTCGGGTACCCGCCGATTAACTCGTGTAACCTGGGCCCTTTACCACTCACACTTCTACAATCAATCGATATTGCATGATGTGGGAACACCGTAGGTTTCCATACTGATCTTAGTTGTCCAGTCCGGGTCCATGAGGGCTATGGGCTGTGGGCTATGGCATTGGCTATGAGCATAAGGGCTATGGTCTGATGAACATGGTGTGCTGCTGCAAGCTACCGTCAGTGACTAAGTCGCTACATAGGTATCAGAAACTCCCTCCACTCTTCCTCTATACTTGTTCACGACTGGCTCTGTGCCCTCTCTCAGAGCTCGGGAGCATGGTTTTCTTGACATTCAGGGGGGGGGTTGGGAGGGGGTGACGTCGTCTGTGTGTAGCAAAATCCTTTCCTATGATCAGGGAATTGTTCTGTCGTTACTAGAAAACCACAAGAAGAAAATTACAAGAAAGGCCAGTCTTAGAGCTGTTTCAGCATTATAATTTCTTGCATAGCACTATTAGCGGACATAATTGTACTATGTGGTAATAATAAAAATCCTGGTCGACCTCAACTGAATACAGCGCGAGGTATCGTGCAGTACGTAGTGAGTACAGTGAGTGTTTCAACTCAAACAACCTCATAGTGAGAATGAGGTTGCTTGAAAATATCTCTAGGTCAAGAGGGGAACGAGAAAAACTCACCGGCGGCGCGGACGCGAACGCGTGCTGCTGACGTCACGGCTGCGACAAGGGCGACCAAAGGATGAGTCAGCACCCCTGACAGTTTGCTCGCCCAGCAACGAATTGTTATAGTGGGAGAAGTGAAAAGATTATATATCAATTCACGCCAGAGAATAGGCATTTTCAAGTGATATTGTTTCAAATGCAGTGTATTGCTCCAATCGCAGAACATGATATGCAATGGGAAGTCAATGCCTCTGTACAAATTCTTAGAGGGCTAAATAAAGCTGAATTTGATTAGCGTGAGTCAGTTCTTCAGATTCAGTTCGTACACCACTACTTACTGGAATTAGAGGACGATAATTGCCTGGACCACATAATATATGAAAGTATTGACGGCAGCTCTGGCCCCTGCCAATCCCCCTCGCCGTCGCTATGACGTCAGAACGACACCACTAACACGCGAACGCGTCCGCGCCGCCGGTGAACTTTTCTATGGAGCCAGGTCAGGACTGCCCTCCTCTGGAAGTTAAACCATGACTGGAGGTCAAATCCGGGATCGAATCTTGCTCAAGCCAGCCAAGCTTTTCGTGCCTCCGGGTCCCAACTACAAACATATTTGGGAACTGCAGCAAGACCTGTGCATTTACTAGCTGCGCAATGTGCCTTCGGGGGGGGGGGAGCAGTATCAAGGAAGATCATTTTGACTAAGCCTATCGGAGAGGGAGAATTTGGGACAAAATGAGAATTGCTCACGCACCTCGGAGGCTCTCTTCTCTTCTAAGGTTTAGTCCTAAAACTGACCGCCATGAATCTGACGCTATGTCACGGGCTTCCCCCCCCCCCCCCCTCACCTGTCCAATACCTTGCCACTTATAGCTTTGTCCTGCATGTATGCGTGTATCGTTAAAATTTATACAAAATTACTAAAATATGAATAAAAATGAGGAACTAAACAAACAAGTGGTAAAAATCTTTATAGGTTTTTTCTTAAATAATAGCAGTTTTGAATAGATTATATATTTGCTTCTCCTGAATGCTTGAAGTTTTTGACTATAATTTCAGGTGTCCGTCGATGATCTGATCGTCTATTCTGGTGACGTACCTGCAAGCACAGCCGAAAAAACCGGAATCCTCGAGATCAATTTTCGGGAGTAGCCAGACTACGGCTGTCTACAGTAAATCTGTTTTGAAAAAATAGATGCTATCGAGTGCAGACCACACACCACAAGTGACGACGGCCTCCAAATGTTTTCTGCCAATGAAATGATTAGCCTGTTGCAGTTGTATTCTATCAGTTGTCACTAATTACAATATCATTTACCAACAATCAGCTATCACTATGAACCACTAGTTACCAGATTTACTTGGAGGCCGTCGTCACTTGTGGTGTGTGGTCTGCACTCGAAGTGTATCTGATTCCCCGAAGCAGAGGGTAGCTCTGGCCGCTGGCCGCATATTCTAAGACCAGAGATAAACGAGAGTTTGATAATAAATATTATTTCTCTGACATTATTTATTATTACTACGTGGAGATTGACTTACGTTTGGCACGTATTGCCTTCTTTAGCATCATGCTTACACAATACAAACACTTACGTTACGTATGACGGGTCTATTTCAGTGAGGGGGGGAGGGACATCATGATGCGGTTCCTCGGCGTACTTTGAACATTCCAGCTTTCCACGCATGTCAAGAG